GGCGACGGCATAGGCTGCAGTCCCTGTGGCAGTGGGTTGCCATGGGCTACTGTGTGTAGCCAGCAGCCAGCGTGAGCGGCCATCCAGAAGCCGGTGGTTGATCTGCCTCACCCGGGAAGAGCACAATGATGGTGCCAACTTGGGCCAGTGAAGCAACGTCCTCCAGAACTAGTCTGAAGAACAAAAGGACAGCAACTTGTCTGTTCCCCTTCCCCCGATTCCCCAGCGCTGTTCCCAATTCCCTAATAAAAATCTTTAAAAAAATGCAAATGCTGATCCTTAGGTTCTTTCTGTCCTATATTAAGTTCCTTGAGAACTGAAACTACTGTTATTTATTTAGCTATCTTCCATTATGCTTAGTAGCATAATAGAATATAGTAGGCATTTAGTAAAAGTTTATGCAATAACTTATTGTACTGTTTGAGTAAACTGATTTATGGCACTTTGGTCTTAGGGTCACTTTAAAAGCATGTTAAGATTTCCAGTCAAGATGGTGCAGTAGATAAATGCTGTGCTTAACTTCTCTCACGAGCACATCAAAAATTATAACTAAACTACAAAACAACCATCATTGAGAACCACCTGACATCTTGCTGAACAGAAGCCCTACAACTAAGGACCTGCAGAAGAAACCACCTCGAGCTCCTACCAAGGAACCAAACAATCAATTCGAATGTTCAATGTGTCCAATTACTGACACCTTTAAAATCCCACCACACTGAGAGCATAACCTTCCTCTGGTGAATGTCTGCTTTTGATGTTGTTTGAGGCAAATCATCACGTTGCGACCAAGACCGTTTGCGCAGCCCACCATCCCATGCGGGAGTCAAACCTGGCAGCCTTGTTAGGAGCATGTGCTCTCACCAGCTGAGCCATCCTGTCACCTGCTGGCAGCTCAGCTTGGGCTCAGCTCATTGGCTCATGTAGGAATCAAACCGGCGACCCTGTTGCTCAGAGCTTGCGCTCTTAACCAACTGAGCCATTCAGCCGGCCCCCCAACACAGATTTCAGCCAGCATACTTGAAGAGTGTCAGAGCTTTCAAGGCTGGGATCTGTTTTCTCAAAATTGGTTGAACGTATATATGTAAGTCATTCATAGGGATCAACCTTTGAGTAACTGACCATAAGTTGTCAAACTCTATGGTTCCAAAGGTTTTATTACCTTTTATTAGGACAATTTTCACATATACACAAAAGTGGAAAGAATAGTATAACCCACTCTCACATGGTACCCATCAACCAGTCCCAACAGTTATCAACTAAAATGGGTTTTAACAGAAACATTTCAGTCAAAATTATATTTCCAGGTCTATATCATTGTTTCTCTAATTGATTATTTTTAATTCCATATCATGGATCTAATTATAATCCTACTTTACCTTTGCTCCTTAAGTTTCTTTTATTATTAATTTGGATTAAGAGTCAAAGATTTATTTTCTATAAATATCATAAAATTAGTTTTACGATACATTTTAAAATCACAACATCAAAAGAAAAATGCATGGCTTTGTGACTTTTTTTTAAATGGGAGAGAGTTAAACATGCTGGGTAGAATATATTTTGTTTTGTCTTTGTTTTTAAGGTTTGGCTTGAGCAACAAGTTTGATACTGAATTTCCCTCAGTTCTAACGGGGAAGGTAAGTGAGAGTTTGCTTTGAACTTTTGAATTTTAAAAGCATTGTTTTATGGGTTATTCAGTGTTATGACAAATGTTTGAGTCACTGGTAATGAAGTGTAGTAACAAGAGGCCAGGGTACTTGGAGGCTGTGGTGTTAGTGTCTGAAAGCTGTCTCCATGACAACTAGCCTATAATCAGTTATTTTGTTCGTTGTCCATTAATGCCACCCATTATTTATTTGTTCAGTTTTTACAGTTTTGTCTTTTTTCTCAGACCTGGTAGGGGTGTGTGTGTGTGTGTGTGTGTGTGTGTGTGTGTGTGTGTGTGTATATAGTTTTTATTTAGCTCAGTAATTTCCAATGTTTTTAGAGTGAACAAAGTTATTGTTTAACTTTGTATCACTCTTTTATAAAGTGTCCTGTGGTCTGATTTGTTATACATCAAAAGAATCAAATTTTGGGTTAGATGTTTTTCTGCCTTTTAGATAGTTTGAGTTTCTAAAATTGGATTCACTGCAATAAATTGTTCCCCAGTTCCTCTACATTCAGTAGTATCTTCTAGCATTGAGGTTGAATAGTCAAAGACTTCCTAGGATTTGAAATCGTGTTTGGAAACTCCTCTTACAACAGTAATGCTAACTTCTAGGCCCGGAGGGAAAAGGCTCTGACTAAGGCAAAAGGTTATTTACACGTTTGTTACTTGAGAAAATGTAGATGAAGGAAGAGAAAAGCCATTGTATTACAAAATACTCAATAATTTCCAAATGGTTAAGATCTGAGTGCTTGGTAGCTAAAATAATGATTTGGGGTTAAAAGAAGTTAACTTTTTGTGTGTTGAATCCTATAACTTAATATCATTCCGTTGAATTTTAGTACTAGAATAATGCTATTTGTCAGTATAGATTTTGGTCATATTTTAAAATAATTTCATTCTCTAAAGGGCTTTTATATGCTATTTTGGTGTTAATTTTTCTCATACATTATTGAGAAAAACAAGATGCAAATCAATGTGTAAAGTGTGTAATACAGGGGAGAAATAAACACATTGATAATCTATAAAGTAATTCTAGAAGGATCCACATGACACTAATAAAAGTGATTACCTTCGTTGAAGAAGGAGAAGGAGATGGGTGGAAGCAAGGGCAAGGATGAGACCATTTTCTGATTATCTTTTAGTGTTGTTTTGATTTTTGAACCATGTGATCATATTACCTATTCAAACCTTAGTTTATTTTTAATTTGCCCTCTTACTGTAAACTATTTGAGAATGGGATAAAATAGTTCTACTAAAATTGACTCCTTTTCGTCATGATATATTTTCCAGCTGCTTATTCTTCTCATTTTTGTCCTTTTCCCAGTCTTCTCCCCAGCTTCATTGGAGGGGAAAAAAGAGAAAAAGATAGCAGACCTCTTTCATTTTTCAAGGGTTATCATTGAGATCACAATAAATTCTACTTAATTTAACCCTGAAATGTATTATTTATTTGCTTCATTCTCCCCCTGAAAAATGGAGTCAGCTTGAGATAGTACAGAGTAATTAAACAAGCTCTTTGAAGTCAGATCTGGGCTGGAATACAAAGTCTGTCACTTACTGGCTTTGTGGCTTTGGGCAAGCTACGTCTCTGAGCCTCAGTTCTTCTGTGAAAAATCGAGATAATGATGCTAATACTTCACTTCTTGCAGCATATATAAGATACCTACTATATTGTCAGGTACTTATTAGCTTCCCAATGTAAGTTTGTGGTTGCTGTTGACCATTCTACCTGAGTGTATCCCGGTTTTACTCTGATTGTTTTTCTAGTTTTCTCAATTCACCAGCTTTCAATTTTTAATTGCTTCTGCTACTTTTACATTCTTCATCTGAGTAGTGGTGGATTCTCTGGTCCCACCAATAATTTGTCCTCTTGACTTTGGACCTTTTATATCTCTCCCGGGGTCTATCAAATCATGCCACATAATAATAAACAGGTGGAGATAATCCCTTGCTAATTTAACATTATAAAATATGTGGCTTCATAACTTTTTAGGATACAAAGAGCCCTTTGGTGTGAGATTTCGGCCTCACTCTCTGGTATGTTCAGTTGAAGTAGCAGTTCAGACTTAGATTTGTTTTATATGAGTTAATCTTAAATGTTTTCTCCAAATGAAAAAAGTCTCTATGAAAAAAATCTCTTGAGCAATAATGTGTGGAAAGGTGGCAAATTCAATATTAAAAGTAAAGAGATTATGAATTGAAACATCTCCAATGGAAAACTTGTTCTTTATGTTCCCTTTATGCTGCTGCTATGTTGTCTGGGCAGTTATATCCAGCTTTATTACTGGTTTAGTTCTTTAAAAGTTTGAATTACAAGTTCAAGAAATTCTAGAAAATAATCAAAAAAGTGTCAGAGAAGAGAGTTCTAAGACAGAAGAATTATCCATCTTTGAAATAGGCCAATTGTATGTGCTTGAGGGATGTTCAAAATATTTCTTTACACCTCTTCATTTCTCTCAAAGCCTTCTAAAATGAAAAGCTCCACCAGCCCCAAAGTACAGTGTTGTAAACTAGAGGAGTAAGAATTTTAAGCTGTTTTTGGTATGCCTAAACACAACTTAAATAATCTAGACATGAGCTGTTCTTAATGACACCCATTCTTTTCAGGTTACCAGTTTTGTAGCACATATCATAATGATTGGATATTTTATTCTAGTATGCACTATTTAAAGTGCACAAAATTTCTCATATATTGGATATGGCATAAATGATACTGTGATATTTTTCTTAGTTTAGTGTTTGGTGAGAAAAAAATAACACTAAAAGGAATTCTGAAAGTCTGATTCTTAAGTCACATGGTGTAGCATTAGCTTTATTCATTTTCTCTTTAATCAGATGATTTTTCTCCAGTAGGCACTGTTTAATTTGTATAGGTTATTTTGGATTATCAAAATGCTTCTCTGATAACTGGGGGGAAGAGCCAAAAAGAATTTACATGAACCAAAAAAAAAAACTAAAAGAAAAAAAAGGTCTGAATTCCAGATTTAGCAGTTTTTGTGTAAAAATATTTAAAAATGCGAATTTTCACTCATTTGCTAAATGCAACATCTAGAAAAGGAAAATAAATCTACCTTAGACAAAGTCTTTCAACACGAATGGGATTCTAAATGGCTTTTATGCCTCAACTAAGCAAAATTGCAGAGTGCATTCTGAAAACCTAAAAGCCATTCTGACAAGCTCTGTGGCTCAATATTAATTTTGTGCTTGTTATGTGTTGATGCTTTAAATAGAAATAAAAAATGATGTTTTATATTAAGTGCAGAAAAAATAGTTTCTACCGTTTCACTAAAGATAAGTCCTCCTGTCACAACAGGACATATCAAACAGGTGTACACATACAGAAGCTAGTGACCAGAAAATGAAAGAACCACGGAATTTTAGAAAAGAAATAAAAGCTCCTGACTCTCAGCTTGAAACAATTAAATGGTATTATGGAGAGAGTAGTGTGCAGTATTGGGAACTATAAGCCATAAAGTTGACCTTCACTTTTATGAGCCGATATGACAAGTGCTAGATAGGCTTGTGTTCCCCTTGATTGAAGGAGGCAAATCAGTCCTGCTGGGTTTTGCTTAGATTTTCTTCTGTTTACAGAGTCTCTTGTATCCTGTTATAAAATATTATGACCCTTTCCCTACCTTTATGATGTGCTTTTCTTTTTTCTTTCCAAGAAAGTCAAAGGGAATTAAATGTTTCTTTACATCCTGCTGTTTGGCTAGAAAGTAAAGGGCTTCCATCTAACCTTCATTACTAGAGATAATTATATGGAAATAAATGAGTAAAATGTTATTAACTCTGATTCCACACAATTAACTAAACATTCCTTTCACATTGTTTAAAATCAGTAGTTTAACCAGTTCCCATTTCCTATACCTTTATGTTTTTTTACTTTTATTGTTATTCAAATAGATTTTTTTGAAAGACAGTCCTGGCCTTTTTTTTTTAAGTGAAAATGCAGATTTTAGTTTATTGTTTCAAGTTCTAGTAAGGTTTCTTTTCAATAGATTTATTTTACACTTCAAAAACCTGATGGTTGCGAGGGGAGTGGAATGGAGGGATGGATGACAAAGGTGAAGGGAAATACAGTCAGTAATCATGTGATAACTTTGCACAGTGTCACATGGTTACTAGACTTAGGGTGAGCACATGGTAAGATACAGAAATGTCAAATCACTGTGTTGTACACCTGAAACTAATATAATATTTAATGTCAACTGTACTTAAATTTTTAAAAATCTGAATTCTCATTTTTAGTAACTTGAGTATTTTAGTTTCAATTTGCCCATGATAAGAGTGTACAGACAGAGACTATTGAGTGTTAAATGTGAATGTGGAACGTGTTAGAAGGGAAGAAGGAAATTTGCCACATTTTAGAAATGTTTTTGTTAATTCATTTCCAGAAGCATGTAATGAAAGACAGAATTGATAACACATGTTATATGCCTGGCATATAATTTATTTCACCCACAGAGTTTTCAGTGAAAAGCAAGTTTTACTTTGTGGGTTGATAAATTTCTGACTTTAGCCTCACTCTTTACTTTAACTTTTTTTATCTGTGCTTGTACACTTGTAAATAAAAATTTTAAATAAAAAATTAAAATTTATTTTTAAATAAAAATTTAAATACTAGTTACAGGCCTTAAAGTTGTAAATGGACAGACTTCATAATTTTGTGATTTACATAAGTTTATATAAAAAATTTGCCATGTTTTAAAAATGTGTTAATGTTTCCAGATATACAATTTATAGAGAATTGATAGTAATATTATATTACAAGTTAGAGCTAAATATATAAATGTATTTTCCTTAACTTCTATTTCATTGTTCAGTGATTCACTAGGAAAAAATGAAGTTGAATATCACTGAGAGATAAATCTGAAGAATTGAAGAACTGTAGAGCATTGAATTTGCTTTCAAAATGTAGCAGAATGTCCTTTTGTTTATAATAAAATGTGTAGCAAAACTTTGCTTTTCTTTCTCCAAGTCTAGTCAGAGCTATGAATCACTGACTTCTTTTTGAAAGCCTTCCAGTCAGGAGGTTCTTTCTAAGGTATAATTTCCATTACCTGTGAGGTATATAAAACAAAGATTCTTATTCTCATTTTATAGATGGGGAACTAAAACTCAGGAAAATTAAATGAATTTGCCAAGATTTTTCATAGCTAATAAGTAACTAGAATCCAGATCTTGATTTATTGCCTAATGTGCTTAGCCTGTTGGTGTTTACTATTTTCAGTTATAAGCCATGGTTTTCTGAATTTATTTTCATATTTACCTCAGAAATTTAGTCATTTAATTGAAATTCTTTTTACTCATTGATTGTCTTTAGGTCATATTGCCAACAATCTAGATGGAGAATAAAATTTGCGTACTTTCCCCATGTAAATACAGTTTTGAGTCTCACAATTTCACAACTGTTGTTAGTTAACATATTAGGAAGAAAATCATATGGGTTAAGCAGTTAACCTTATTGGGTAGCATGAATGATTCTAATAAAGCTAAAATAATTACTTAATGTTTTAATCATGATAGTGCTGAATTCTGTGGTCATGTAGCTTTCTAACACCTGCTAATAGCTATATGTTTTGTAGTGTTGACTTGAAGACATGTCTATTAAAAGACAAAAATGTAGTAAATTGATTCCTCTAGTATAACTTCTACTTGGAAGAGTTGTAAAGCTCTATATTTTTTATAACAAATGTGCTAATCAGACTTTTCTTTTATAGCAGTTTCTTTTTCCTAACAATTTCATAAGTTTCTCTTGCACAGCCAGATGCTGCATTTTTCCCCATAGATTTTACAGTCAGACAGCTTTCTAAATAAAAGGGGATCATTTTTGAGATTCCAAAATGTGATTTCACTGAAAGTAAGCTATCTTTAGTAAGCCTTTGAGTTGTATAATCTTCAAGCAGAATTTTAGGTGGAAATCTAATTATGCCTGCCATGTTCTTGCCTTTGAACTGACTTTGTCGTTGTTTACAGAGAAGCAGCCACTTCCAGCAATAGAGGTAGTAATTCAAAATATTCAATTTGTATAAGGACCTTTCAACTTTCAAAATTTGCAGCAGTCATGAGCACATTTTATGCTGACTGCTAAGATGGGTTTTTGAATGGAACCACTCCTCACTGCCTTTTGTAAGTGTAGCTTTTCCCTACAAACAATGGGAACAATGGCAAGAGTTGAAACTGTTATGTTGCAAATTTGCCAGGGAGAAAAGATTTGAGAGTTGCCTTTTTTAAAGTAATTCAGAAATATTGCCACGGTCTGATTTAAATTTCATTTTCTCTGGTAGTATATAGGTTCATGTTGTTGTTTTATGCTTTTAGTCTTAATTCTGGTCAGAGTGACTGGACACTATTACTATCACCTTAAAATTGAGGATATTTGGTAAGAAAACTGTTTGGTGGGTATCCTTTACCACAAATTTTATTGCTGTCATTGTGTTGTTGGCAATTGCAGAAGATTGTTTGTGAACATCAGAAGAAGTTCTATAAACATACAATTATATTGTTTTGCTTTCTAATGTCATCGAGGAGTATGTAATACATATTTATAGGGGAAGATAGGGAGGAAATCTATTTAGACATGTGTAATTCTTTAAAGTATTTGTAATAAGACAAACATTTTCTCTAGGTTTAGAGATGTTAGTGGAAAGCTGCCCACAAACTGTTAAAGCCTGTGCCCTTGTAGGTGGCGCCGGAGGAATTCAAGAGCAGCATTGGCCGTGTGAACGCATGTTTGAAAAAAGCTCTCCCAGTCAATGGGAGATGGCTGCTGTGCGGTTGTCTCTGCTGCTGCTGCACCCTGGGCTGCAGCCTGTGGCCTGTCATTTGTCTCAACAAAAGAGTGAGTAACAATTTTATTGTATACTAATGATAAGAGCTAAGATTTGTTAAACACTTGCTATGTGCCAAGTATATTCCATGATTTAATTCATTCTCACAACAATGCTATCCTCATTCTAGAGGAACACAGAGAGTAAGTCATCTGTCCAACCTTTATCAACACTTTATCACTTAACATGGGTTCCCATCATTTTAAATAAGTGCAATGTTAGTGGAGTCCTTAAGTAAATGTAAATGTAACTGGGTTACTCATTCTTTTAACAAAACCCGAAGCTCTGATTTAAAGCATTTCCAACCTACAAGTATATATGGGAGACCTTCTGATCTGAAGAGGCAGAAGTGAGAGTGCCCTATAAAGTTGGTGGGGGGGCAGGAATCCTGCTTAGTTCTGAACATGTTGAAACAATATTCTAATATGACATTGCTAGTTATGTCATGAATTTAAGACTGTTACCTTAATCTCATCTTCTTTAAATTTTATTTTAGTCTTTGAATACCCCCACACACACCCCATGGAAAGATATATCTTTAAACTTTTAAATTGACGCCAGTGAGGAAAATTCATTTATTTTACCTAAATTTTTTTCCTGTACCACATTGATAATTTCACGTAAACCTTTAAATAATAATCGGCTGAACCATATTCAAAATCACAGCGCCTTGTGGAGGGATAATTAGTGAAGCAGTGGTTTCATAAAAGCCAAAAATATTCCCGAGAAGTACTCATTATGTTTTACTTTCCATCTCTCTCTTGCTCTCCTAAATGTCTACTTCAAAAAGACAAATAATAAAATACTGCCACCCCTATAACTTCTTGAGTGGAAAAGTTAAACATTTTATTGATTCCCTTGGTAACTATCAGTAGATCAGAGCTTTCCTTAAAATAGAGCTTAGTTTATTGTTTCTCAAAGCATCTACAGTATTCTCGAATGGCTTTCTATAAGTTAAAAAATGATAGCATAAAGGGCCGGCCGAGTGGCTCAGTTGGTTAAGAGCTCGCTCAAGAGTGTGAGCTCTGAGCAACAGCGGTTCGAGTCCCGGCCCGAGCTGAGCAGCCGCTGAGCTGCCGACAGGTGGCAGGATGGCTCAGCTAAAAAAAAAAATGACAGCATAAATTTCTTCCTAAATTGTCATATCTTTCAAAAGTTACAAATCAATAACTCTTGTTCATCCCTATTATTTTTAAAGCCTCAATGTGCATTAATTATGTCTTGGATTTTCCATCATACAAATACAGCCAATTTCAACTACTTAATAACAGATTTTTTTTGGTTTTAATATTATCCAGGATCTATCTTTTTTTCTGATGAACTGTTTATGCTTTGCCTATTTACTAACACCTTCACCACAAGGCCTGAAATAGAGAAGCAATTATTTTCTTATTTATTTTCAATTACAGTTGACATTCAGTATTATTTTATGTTAGTGTCACATGTACAGCGTAGTGGTTGGACATTTATATAATTTACGAAGTGATCAAATAAAGCTGTTTGAAAAGTTAGAGTAAAGGTTACAGTATATGTACCACCTCTTCTTCTTTTCATTTTATTTTATTTTTTAATTAGTTTCAGGTGTACAAAACAATGCACTAGTTATGCTTTTTTACCCCTCACAAAGTGGCAACCCCCTCCCCCAATCCACTGCCCGATATCACACATATCTATTACAATTCCATTGACCACTCCCACACTATACTACACATCCCGTGACTATATATATATATATATATATATATTCAATTATAGTTGACATACAATATTATACAACATCAGCTTCAGGTGTACAGTGCAGTGATCAAGCCTCCACCCCATCCATGAAGTGTACCACCTCTTCTTTATCCGGTCATCTGTTGATGGACACCTAGGTTGTTTCCATATCTTGGCCATTGTAAATAATGCAGTGAATACGGGGGTGCAGATATCTTTTCGAATTAGTGTATTGGATTTCTTTGGATAAATACCCAGAAGTGGAATTGCTGGGTCATATGATAGTTTTATTTTTAACTTTTTTTTTTTATTGGGGAATTGGGGGAAGGGGAACAGACAAGTTGCCGTCCTTTTGTTCTTCAGTCTAGTTGTGAAGGACGTTGCTTCACCGGCCCAGGTTGGCACCATCATTGCGCTTTTCTTGGGCGAGGCAGATCAGTCGCCGGCTTCTGGACAGCCGCTCACGCTGACTGCTGGCTACACACGGTAGCCCATGGCAACCCACTGCCACAGGGGCTGCAGCCTACGCCATCACCGGCGACTCACAGCAGCCTAGCTCCAGGTTGTGCTGTTGTTCAGCATCTTAGCTGTGGAGGGCAGTGTCACTGGCCCTCATATGTGGGATCCGAACTGGGGCCTTCTGGCATCCCAAGCCAGTTCTTAACCATCGCGCCACTCGGCCGGCCCCATTTTTAACTTTTTAAGGAGCCTTCATAGTTTTCTATTTTCGAAGGATAATTTTTCTGAGTATGGAATTCTAGGTTGGTGGTACTTTTAACACTTTAAACACAATCATGTAGTGTTTAATGATGGGATATGTTCTGAGAAATGTGTCACTAGGTGTTTTGTCATTGTGTGAACATCATAGCATGCATTTACACAAACCTAGAAGTTATAGCCTACTACATGTCTAGGCTAAATGGTGTACTACCGTCGTATATGTGATCCGTCATTGATCAAAATATGGCACATGACTGTAGTTCAATCCACTCTTTGCTTGGCTGGCATGATTTTTTTTTAATTATTTTTTATTATGAAATACACATTTTTTAGAATTAGTTTCAGCTGTACAACACAGTGCAATAGTTATACTTTTTACCCCTAGAAGTGACAAGCCCCCTCCCCCAATCTGCCACCCCACTTCCCCCCAATATCATACATATCTATTACAATTCCCTTGCCTCCACTCCCACACTATACTCCACGTCCCATGACCATATATATTATTCACTTAAAGTTGACATACAGTATTATACAACATCAGCTTCAGGTGTACAGTGCAGTGATCAAGCCCCTTCCCCATCCATGATGCGGTCTCCCTAGCAAGACATGTGACCACCTGACACCCCACAAAATATTCACATCATCAATTACATTCCTCGAACTGTCATATTGAACTGAATGCAATATTGTAGTTACGTATTTATGCTGTCTAACCCCTTCCCCTTCTCTCTCATCCCCACCCCCTCCCAACTAACAGCCATCAGTTGTTCCTCTATATGTCTGAGACCACTTCTGTTTACATTTCTCATTTATTCAGTTTTTAAGATTCCACATATAAGTGAAATCATATGGTATTTGTCTTTCTCCGACTGACTTATTTCACTTAACATAATAGTCTCTAGGTCCATCCATTTCGTCCCAGGCATGATTTCTAAAGAGATGTTCAATGTAACTCTTATCCTTGCTCCCTTATATGTAAAATATTTTTTTACCTTTGGCTTCTTTCAAGATTTTTCCTTGATTTTCTGCAGTTTGAATATGAGGTTACTAGGTGTAGATTTCGGGGAATTTATCCAGCTTGGTATTTTCCGAGTTTCCTCAATCTATCATATGGTTTGTTGCCTTTCATGAACTTGGGGAAATTCTCTTGTCTCTGTTGCTTTTAATATTTCTTCTGCTCCTTTTTCTTTCTATCTTCTGGTATTTCTATTATGTGCCTATTGTTCCTTTTGTAATTGCGTCATAGTTCTTGGATATTTTGTTCATCTTTCAGTTTTTTAATTTTAGTTTTAGAAGTTTCTATTGGTATATCTTCAGTCTTCACTGATGCTTTCCTCGGCCATGTTCAGTATGTTGATGAGCCCATCAAAAGCATTTTTCAATTGTGTTATGATATTTTGGTTTTCTACCATTTTCTTTTGATCTTTTTCTTACAGTTTCCATCACTCTGCTAACATTATCAGTCTGTTTTTTCATATTGTCCACTTTTTACATTAGCGAGCATTAGCATATTAATCTTAGTTGGTTTATATTTCCAGTTTGATAATTTCAACATCTCTGCCATTTCTGAGTCTGGTTCTGATGCTTGCTCTGTGTTTACAAACTGGTTTGTTTGTTTTTTCTTTTAGTATGACTTCTAATTTTTGTTTGCAGGCTACACATAATGTGCTAGGTGAAAGAAATTGAGGTAAATAGGTCTTTAAAGTGATATTTTATGTTTGTCTGTCTAGGAGTTTACTATTAGTTGTAGCTTCAGGTAATAAAACTCATAAAAGTATGGGATTCGCCCCCAAGACTGGGTCCCTTTGGAATTTTTAACTCTCAAACTTGTCCCCACTGAACTGCCAGCAATTCATCAATTAAAGTTTAGGTTCTGCTACTCTAGTCCTGGTTCTCACAGAGTTTTCCTCTCCTTTATTTCTACTCTGGTAAATTGTACTTCTTTGTATCTCTCTGTCCACCTCTCCAGTTTGGGGGCACTGGCATGTCCTGTTTGTTATCTTACTTCTCTGACAAATCTAAGAGTCGTTGATTTTCAGGTTCAGGTTTTTTGTTTGTTTGTTTGTTTGTTTTTCTTGATGTGTGGGTAGGAGGGACAACTTCCAAGCCCCTTACATGCCTAAATGGATTATCTTCATTTTTTTTAAGTTAATTTGATCCATATAGGACTCTTGGTTGACAGTTGTTTTTTGTTCACTTTCAACTTGTTCTTCCTCTATCTTCTGCCCTACATTATTTCTAAAGAGAAGTCAGCAAATAATATTATTGTAGATTCGTTGTAAGTGATGAGTCATTTTCATCTTTCTGTTTTCAAGATTTTCTATTTTTCCACGGCTTTCAACATTTTACTGTGATGTGTCTGCTATGAATCTCCTTGTGTTTATCCTATTTGAAGTCTCTTGAGCTTATTTGGGAAGTTTTCAGCCATTATTTCATTAAATATTTCTTCTGTTTTATTCTTGTTCAAATACTCTCAATATATGCATGTTGGTACACTTAATGATGTCTAACATTTCTCTGAGGCTCTGTTCATTTTTCTTCAGTTTTCTTTGTGCTGTTGATATTGCATATC